ATCACGCCCCAGCACGACCACGCCCCAGCACGACCACGCCCCAGCACGACCACACCCCAGCACGACCTCACCACAGCACGACCCCCCCAGCACGACCACGCCCCAGCACGACCACGCACCCCCAGCAGACCACCCCCCAGCACGACACACCCCAGCAGCCACGACCACACACCCAGCACGACCACACCCCAGCACGACCACACCCCAGCACGACCACACCCCAGCACGACCACACCCAGTCGCACCCCCGTGGAATGTTTCGTGGGGGTTCTCGTGGAATGTTTCGTGGGGTGTCTCGTGGAATGTTTCGGGGGTGTCTCGTGGAAGCCCGTGTCTCGTGGAAATGTTTCGCGGGGTGTCTCGGGGAACTTTTTTCGTAGGTGTCTCGTGTAATGTCTCGTGAGGTGTCTCGTGGGATGCTTCGTGAGGTGTCTCGTGGGATGTTTCGTGAGGTGATGCCCACTTGGGTATCGTGAAAACGTGTCCATGCTCCACATGTCTATATCCCTTTCCGGGTTCGTGGGTCCATCATGTTAGTGTGTTGAGGATGTCTCGAGCGAACGCTTGCTCCGCAGGTGGCCGAGGAGTCTCGAGGAAACGCTGTTACGCAGAAGCCGACCGCGACGCGGAAAAAAAAGCGCCCGCGCGAAGGAATTTCGATGATGTTATTCTCGACTAATTCCTTTGTTTTTGTACGATGTCATGGAATTTTGGCGGATGTCTCGAGCGAAAGGCACGACCCCACCCTAGCCACGACCATACCCAGCACGACACCACCCAGCACGACAGACCAACGCACGACAGACCAGCACGACCCCACACCAGCAGACACCACCCCAGCACGACCATACCCCAGCACGACACACCCCAGCACGACCGACCCCAGCACGGGACCCTACCTCAGCACGACCACACCCCCAGCATGACCACACCCCAGCACGACCACGCCCAGCACGACCACGCCCCAGCACGACCACGCCCCAGCACGACCACGCCCCAGCACGACCACGCCCCAGCACGACCACCCCCCAGCACGACCACACCCCCAGCACGACCACAGCACGACCACCCCCCAGCACGACCACACCCCAGCACGACCACACCCCAGCACGACCACACCCCAGCACGACCACACCCCAGCACGACCACACCCAGTCGCACCCCCGTGGAATGTTTCGTGGCGTGTCTGGTTGAGTGGTTGCCTGTTCGTGGGGTGTCTCGTGGAATGTTTCACGGGGTGTCTCGTGGAATGTTTCGTGAGGTGTCTCGTGGAATGTTTCGTGAGGTGTCTCGTGGGATGTTTCGCGGGGTGTCTCGTGGGATGTTTCGTGAGATGTCGCCCAGTTGGGTATCGTGAAAACGTGACCATGCTGCACATGTCTTTATCCCTTTCCGGGTTCGTGGGTCCATCATGTTACATGTTTCCACCAGCCAGTTGTGATTCCAACCATTTGTTTGTCCTCCTTCAGCGATGCCAATACATCCGTGAGGGCTTCGCCCCTTGCCGCTGGCGCCCTCTCCCGGAGAATGACGTATACAAGAGCCTGGGCGCCGCCATGAAGCAGCGTCGAAATTCCGAACGGGGGCCACTTGGGTCTAGGTCCCCCGGGTCACTCTTGTTTGGCCGTCTCGGGGCATTGTTGGGCCGTCTTAGGGGGTCTCTTGAGCCGTCTTTGGGCCCGCTTGAACCGACGGCGGGCGCTTTTGAACGCTTTTGGGGCCGTTTTGGGGCGGTCCTGGGGTGGGGCGCTCTTGGGCCATCTCGAGCGCTGGAAGCCCGAAACGGCGAGCGTGCTAAAATCGATCAGCAACCGAAGGACAATTGCAGATGTTGGCCTCTTGGGCCCCCCTTGGGGGTGCTCTTGGAGCGCTCTTGGGGGCCCCCTGGGAGCGTCTTGGGAAGGCTTTGGACCTACTTGGCCGCCTTGGAGCATTCTTGGATCGTCTCGGAGGCATCTTGTACCGTTTTTGGAGCGTTTCGAAAGCGCGAATCATGTATATTTTAGGGGTGGCTATGCTTTCGGGGAAGCGAAGAACGCGTTACGAGGGATCGTGATTGCGGGGTCGTAGTTTTGTGATTTCAGAAAACGTATTTCCTCGGAGACGCGAGTATAATATAATTTACAAGGAATTGTCGTCTCGGGAGCGCGGGCACACCGTCATGTGCAAGGGTTCATGGCCTTGGCTGCGCGAAGTTTGCATGTTTGATTCAGGTATATGTCCTCGGGGGCGCGACTACGGTGTAATGTACGAGGGGTTATGGCTCCCAGGGTGCGAATCTCACATAGTTTACGTGTCCTCAGACCCCCCAGTAATTCTGAGAACCCCCCCCCCCAGTTGACGGTGACCAGGGCCCTTTTCTGTTCCCTCCCCTCGCGCGGACTTCCACGAGTCACAGTAGGAAGCAGAGCACAGGATCGTAACACAGGAGACTGGACATTGGAATTGGAGCAATGAGCAGCAAGCCTAAGCCGCGGAGCCTGATGGCCCCGCGGGGGGTGCGGCGGCTTCCCCTCTCACAGTTTATCAGTTTGTCCTCTTCCAATACGTTTCCCGCTCGGCCACCGCTCTCACTCAGTCAGCACATCCAGCGTGGCTTGAGAGATCCATGGGCGGTTGTTCGATCCCTGCCAAGATTTGCTCATTGCTTCTCCACCGTATTCCGCTGCATTAGTGATGCGCTTGGCATGCAAATCGAAAGTATTGGCATTTGCAGGCGCCACCGCTGCCTCGCAGAAGCAGCGGCAATAGTTTCCAGCATCCACCACCAGCGTGTCCAAGCGGTATCTGTTCCTGTGGTGTTTCGTGCGTGTAGTATCGAGATAAGTGTCCAAGAGCACACACACGTAGCAGAAAGTGGCGTGACGCCAACACTATTGTCCAATCTGCACATCCGTAATCTCCCCAATTGCACTGTGATTAACAAGGCAACATCAATGTGAGTAACCCCTTTTCCTATCGGACTTGTTCTGTTCACTTCCACCCTGTAGAGGGTGACAAGGTGTTCCAACTGTTGTTCAATCTATGTTTCGGCAATTGCGGTAGATGTTGTTTGGCACGTTTCCAGCGATGAGTCTTGATTTAAGTATGTTCGCCGCGCCGCTAACCTTCACCTTCACATTTTTTCCCGGAAAGGGCGTGGGCCCAGGGTTCTCTTTTAGTAGGTAAACCTGTCCCCCGGTGCCAACTTGAGGGAGGCCGGCGAATTTTTTCCCTGATAAATAACGAGGTCGAAGGAGGCCGGCGAATTAAAATTTGAGGATGTCTCGAGCGAAACGCTTGTTTTTGAAATCCCGATCGATAAATCACAGGGTGCGGGCCACTTTTTCGTGTGTTGAGGATGTCTCGAGCGAAACGCTTGCTCCGCAGAGTTTGCCGAGGATGTCTCGAGCGAAACGCTTGTTTTGCAGAGCCGACCGCGACGCGGAAAAGCGGCCCGCGCGGGGGGGGGGGGAAAGGAATTTTCCCAATGATGTCTCGACTAATTCGTTTGTTTTTGTACGATTTCCTGGAATTTTGGCAGGATGTCTCGAGCGAAATGCACGAACCCACCCTAGCACGACCATACCCCAGCACGACCACACCCCAGCACGACCAGACCCCAGCACGACCCCACCCCAGCCCGACCCCACCCCAGCACGACCATACCCCAGCACGACCCCACCCCAGCACGACCCGACCCCAGCACGACCCTACCCCAGCAAGACCACACCCCACAGCACGATCCGCCACCCCAGCACGACCACACCCCAGCACGGGGAAGGTTTTTTTTTTTGGGTTTTTATTTGTTGCTTTTTTTTTGCCCCACCCCAGCACGACCACACCCCCGCACGACCCGACCCCAGCACGACCCTACCCCAGCAAGACCACACCCCAGCACGACCACACCCCAGCACGACCTCACCACAGCACGACCACACCCCAGCACGACCACGCCCCAGCACGACCACGCCCCAGCACGACCACGCCCCAGCACGACCCTACCCCAGCAAGACCACACCCCAGCACGACCACACCCTAGCACGACCTCACCACAGCACGACTACAGCCCAGCACGACCACGCCCCAGCACGACCACCCCCCAGCACGACCACACCCCAGCACGACCTCACCACAGCACGACCACACCCCAGCACGACCACGCCCCAGCACGACCACGCCCCAGCACGACCACGCCCCAGCACGACCACCCCCCCGCACGACCACCCCCCAGCACGACCACCCCCCAGCACGACCACCCCCCAGCACGACCACACCCCAGCACGACCACTCCCCAGCACGACCACACCGCCTTGGTTGAGTGGTTGCCTGTCGTCGTGGAATGTTTCGTGGGGTGTCTCGTGGAATGTTTCGCGGGGTGTCTCGTGGAATGTTTCGTGAGGTGTCTCGCGGAATGTTTCGTGAGGTGTCTCGTGGGATGTTTCGTGAGGTGTCTCGTGGGATGTTTCGTGAGGTGTCTCGTGGGATGTTTCGTGAGGTGTTGCCCCGTTGGGTATCGTGAAAACGTGCCCATGCTCCACATGTCTATATCCCTTTCCGGGTTCGTGGGTCCATCATGTTAACAGGTAATCGCATTCTCATGGTTGACGTCCCAGGCATGGTGCCCGGTACCAGTTAGTTTGGTCAGGTCGCAAAGACCAGTTTGATTCGCGGTGTTGAAGTCCTAGGAATGGTGCTCCGGCGCCATGCAGGATCGTCAGGACGCAATCTTAGAGTTGACTCGAGGCGTTGGAATCCAAGCAGTGATGCTTTGGCACGACTGAGGATTCTCAGGCGGTTGTCTTCCAACGCGGCACTCCCAGCAGTGGCAATCTATTTGTGTGGGATATATGAGGAGTGAATTTGGAGGGAGGGTTGAGCGTAACATTGTTAGTGTTTCTTGGGTTTCTTTGTGTTGTTCTCTCCTCTCCCACTTCTGCTTCTCCCTCTTCGTAGCCACTTTGTGTCAAGGCCATCTAAAGGCCCTCCCCCCGCTCTGTCTGTATTCTTCCAACACGCAGGTGACCCCCGACCTTCTGTGACCATGGCCACTACTGCGGAGCTCATGCGGATATGTGCCCCGTTGTACCCGTCCATCGCCCTAGAGAGTGCGGCGAACTTCGGGCTGTTTCTATTCTTCTCGTATCTGTCCATCCTCATCTCCACGAAGCAGCAGGTGAAGACGCCCGCGAGGGCGATTTGTCGGATGCTATGGAGCAGCCTGAAGGAGTGGGCGGAGGACACCTGGAGGGTCTTGCGCAGGTGGCCTCACATGCACGAGATGGAGCTCGGCCAACGCTTCCGCTATTGCCGGAGGCTCAACGCGACCATTTGTCGATTGTCGGCTGGCATTGCGCTCATTACGATCACCCGTTGGTTCCACATCAACAACGTGAACGGTTTCCGCTACCTCGGGTATGCCCTCACTTGCCCCCTGATGCAGGCCGAGCTCGTGCTGCTCATCGCGCCGCACATCCCGTGCTACAGGCTGTTGGCGGTCTTCTCGTGCCTCATCACTTTCGGCATGCTACTCACCGGCTACGTTGCGTCTCAGTTCGAGGGGCCGATGTGGAAGAACGATTTTGAAACCTTCTATGACGAAGCCCTGGAAGGTAACCTCGAGAGTCTGACCACAAAGGGCTGGTGGTTGATGCCGAGCACGGTGATTTTGTGTTTCCTCTCTTTTGTGCAGATCCCAATTCTTGGCCTTGTGTACTATTGCAGCGGCGGCTCGAAGAATGAAGACCTGCCGAAAGGCTACCCTAAGCTCCTGATGATCACGTCTCTCTCTTGGTTGGGCTTCCCCGTCTGGTGGTACTTGTCGTACGAAGGGGCAAGCATTATCACGGAGTCTAGGTGGAATGCCGTAGGTTTTGTGTGCCTGAACATGACCAGCAAGGGCGGTTTCACTTTGCAGATGCTCAGCATGGTCAAGGCGTGGAAGCGCCAGCAGGCCCAGAAGCCAAAGCCCCCCCCGGTGTCTGCCAGCGCGGTGCCGAAGCTCCAGCTTCCCATGGGCGGGGTGCCGAACGGCCGAAGGGGCAGCAACGCGACGCTGCCCGACCTGGACCCCCCTGCGGTGCGGGAGGCCCCCGCGGTGCGAAACGCCAAGAGGAACCAGACGGGGCAGTCGCTGCAGTGGTTCGTCGACGCCATGAAGAAGTGGGAGCCCGAGGAGGCGAACCCCCCGACCTCGACCGCGCAGGAGGCGGACAAGGGCCCCCCCGGCGAGGCTCGGGCGGGCGGAGGCGGGGGTGGCCTCCACGGGGGGTGAAGGAAGTGGCCCCGGCGGGGCATCTCGGGGCCCCTTGGGGGGCCCCTGCCGGCTCCGAGAGGGGCCCCGAAGGACCCCTTCAGGGTAAATGGGGGACCACACGCGAACCCTACCCCTACCTCCTCCTCCTCCTCCTCCTCCTCCTCCTCCTCCTCCTCCTCCTCCTCCTCCTCCTCCTCCTCCTCCTCCTCCTCCTACCCCTACCCCCCACGATCTCTGAGGGGGAGGGTGGGGTTCACTGCGCCTGGGCGCTCCCGAGCGAAGTGAGCCCCACCCCCCCCTCAGAAGTCGTGGGGGTAGGGGCACAGTCGGGGCGCTGGAGAAGGAACCCTCTCCGTTGGGTAGGGGCTCCGTGTTCCTTAATTGTTTCGCAGCTTGCCTCAGGTTTTCCTTAGGTTTTCGATGGGAAATCGAAGTTGAACTTCTGGGAAAAAGGGGCCTCGTTCCTTATTTCGGGTTCCTTAGGTCAACGCTCCGACCGTAGGGGTAGGGTTCGCATGTGGCCCCCTAGTAGATGCCTTCACCCCCCGTTTGGGCCACCTCCCGCTGCCACCCGCCCGAGAGGTCGAGACGGTGGTGATCACGGACCCGCGCCAGCTGGACGACGAGCAGCTCATGCGGGAGCTGGGGAAGCGCCTGGCCGCGCACGGCGCGTGCGGCAAGGGGACGCCGAGGACGTCGCTGAACGCCTCCATCCGCAAGGCGTGCACCAAGATCCTCGAGGCCGACGAGAGCGACGACGACGAGTGAGCGGCGCGGCAGGGGTGGAGTCGAACGACAAAGACTTGCATGATCATAATTGCTCGGAGGGTCGCGCGGACTTCCGGGATCGGTGCCAGACCCCCACGGAAGGAATAGCCCAGGGATCCGCCCTTACAGTCAGAACGTTGACTTGTGGATTCATCTGCAGTTGCAAAGGATAGTTTACACCGTAGAGTCATAAGTCAGGAGAATCGAGTATCGAACATTCCTGAAACTGGTTATTCCCGGAAAGGGTGCGGGCCCAGGGTTTTCATTTAGTTTTGTAGTTTGTCCCCGGTGCCATGACTGAGGTGGGCCGGCGGATGACGGGAAGCGCGCCAAGACTCGAAGAGTCGCGCGATGGACGTCTGTTTGCCCAGAGGGATTTATTTATCAGGGGGAGGTCTGGAGGGGGAACGTGCGGCGCCGCCTCGTTGTCCAGAGCCTGACGGATGACGGGAAGCGTCTTCGAGGAACGAGAAGCGAGCTGGACGATTTGGCTGAATCCTCCTCGTATCAGTAAGAGATCTCTTAACTATAGGGGGTGGCGGGTTGCACGGTGCAGAGGCTTAGCGGATTCCTCGGGATGGTGACGGGAAGCGCGCTTAGACTCGAAGAGTCGCGCGATGGACGTTGGTCCCGGCCCGGAGGGATTTATCCACTGGGGAGGTCCAGGAGGGGAAGGGCTCGGGGTTGCTCCTCCGTCAGACCCTAGCGGATGACGGGAAGCGCGCTTAGACTCGAAGAGTCGCGCGATGGACGTTGCTGTAGACCCGGAGGGAAATATTTTCCCGGAAAGGGCGTGGGCCCAGGGTTCTCTTTTAGTAGGTAAACCTGTCCCCCGGTGCCAACTTGAGGGAGGCCGGCGAATTTTTTCCCTGATAAATAACGAGGTCGAAGGAGGCCGGCGAATTAAAATTTGAGGATGTCTCGAGCGAAACGCTTGTTTTTCAGAATTTCTTGAGGATGTCTCGAGCGAAACGCTGGTTTTGCAGAGTTGAGGATGTCTCGAGCGAAACGCTTGTTTTCAGAATTTGCTGAGGATGTCTCAAGCGAAACGCTGGTTTTGCAGAGCCGACCGCGACGCGG